CAAGCACAAACACACACACATGCATGCACTGTACAATGTCTGTGTGAGTTGTTTACTTTGCACCACCTTCTGAATTTAATGAGTCATCCAGACCACTTATGGATGAGGCTGGTAAGCACAAGCCCTTCCTTGAATCTGGTTGGCTGGTGGTGATCAGACAAGTTGTAACAGAGCTTCCTCAGCACTGCAAGACAGATATGTAAACCAAGTTAGCAGGAACAGACACCATCTAGGAATAGTGCTGATTGACTATGAGCTTCTGGACACACAGCTCCAACTGCTGGAACATTTTCTCCCTTTCTGTGGCTGACTGAGCATCAGAGGTCAGGATTGCAATGATTTTTAGAATTTGGATGGGGATGTAAAAATAGGACTGCTAAAAATGTGTTGCTTTGAAATTGCTAAAATGTTGTAAATTTGCTTTAAGTGTCTGTTTCTTTAAGATAAGATTTGAATTATAACCTGATAGAATTAATATTCTGTAAGGCCTAAGACTACTTGGGGAAAAAATTACTACACAGATTTGTTAAATGATTCCTGGGTTTAAGTAAGAAATTACTTTTAAATCCCTACCAGTCTCCCAGATAATTAATCAGTAAGTACTTCATGGCAGTGCAATGATGTTGTTCGGTTTTGTGACCTGGTGGCCCCTTTGTCCAACATACAACATTACTTGCCTATTTCCTTAATCTTACTGGATAAAAGGAGACTCTTAAAACATCTCATTTAGGTTAGGAAAGAAAATGGAACTCCACATTTGTAATTGACCTGACATTTATATGCACCTGATTTAAATGAACTTTACCCAAAGCATACTCCACAAGAGGCACTTCAAATGTCACTGTGCACTGTCCCTTTGGTTGTAAAGTAAAATGGCTTTCTTTTTGTAAGTACACAACACACTTAAGGAAATAAAACCAGGCACCTAGCTGTTAACAGCAATGTCATCCATTCAATAAATGTTTGCTTAGGCCATACTTCCTGTTTGCACTAGGGACAGCATGATAAGGCAAACGGCCAATGTCCTCTTCCACTACTCTACAGTCCGGTAGATGAAGTAGATTTTTAAGCATTTACGACATAGTTGCAAATCATGATTAAGTACAAATTGTGATTTCGGCTATGAAGAAAAAAGAAAAGAAATAGGAATAATGTCAGGGAGAGGGCAGTGCCTACTTTAGGGAGTCAGAGAAGGACTAGAGGAGGAAGTGACATTTAAGCAAAGACTGAAGGGCATTAGAAGCCAGAGCCAGCAGAGCAGAAGGGAATACATAATATTCCTGGCAGAAGGAAGAGGTTGTACAAAGAAGCATAGTCCTAAAGAAATCTGAGTATGTTAGAGGACTAAAAGAAGCATAATAGGGGCAACCCACTTCCGGTCCCCCTTCTGTCTCTCTTAGACAGAAGCTTTCTTTCTCTCAATAAATTTTTCCTACTCTTAAAAAAAAAAAAAGCATAATATATCTAGGATCCAAAGTATGACAAGTTTCAAAGGTATCCACTAGACTAAAAATCGATGGCTTTTGGGCAGGGGAGTGATAAGATCTGGTGTCTGTTTTGGAAAGGTTACACTGGCTTCCAGGTGGAGCACAAGTGGGGAAGGGGAGAGGAAATGTAGAAATCAGTGGAGCCTATGATCATGGTAAGTGAGATGATGTCTTGGAAAACCACTGATTCCTACAGGGAAGGGGAAGAAGGAGCACTTTTGTGGTATACTTTGGAGGTGGAATAAACAGACATGCTGGTGGAAGTACTGCATGTGAGGGGGGTTGAGTGAGCAAGAGGAGTCAAGGATGACTCAGATTTCAGGCTGGAATAATTGGGAAGGTGGGGAATACTAATGGAGAAAGAGGTTTGAAGAGAGAAGTCAACTCATAACTGTACATCTCAGACCTTTAGTCACTGGAATAATTTAAATCTCTATTTAACATTTCTTTTAAAATGTTCATGTGTACCCAGGGCGTGGTGGAACACATCTATAATCCCAGCACTCAGGAGGTTGAGGCAGTAGGCTTGCCACAAGTTTGAGGGCAGCCTGGGCTACACAGTGAGTTTGAGGCAAGGCTAAATTACATAGCAAGGCCCTTTCTCAAAAATACAAGAAAAAAAAAGTTGATACTCAACAGGAAACTGCAGCCAGGCCTAAATTTAGGCATGTGTGTGTATGATTAGAAAAGAAAATGAAATACCATATTTATAATACCTGACATACAATGAGAACACCATACATACAGTATTTGTAACTGACCTGAAAAGATTAGGGAGCAGAGGCTGGGAGGCTTATCTCAATGTTGCCTTTGATAAATATAGCTTTAGATCCTATGTTTCCTTAGGTTTGTGGGTTACTTGGATTGTGTTTGTTTAGATTTGGGCTAAAGACCTCCCCAAATCACCCGCTGGTTTTATCACTGTCTGAGAAATTAGGTAAGAAAAGAACTGTTGAATTTACATATTTTTTTTAAAAAGAAAAATAAAGGAATCTGTTATTTTATACATTGGTTATCTTTCCAACAGTGAAGTTAGTTCAGGAAAAAAATTTAAAGGTAAATGTGCAAAAACCCAAACCACTCTGAACAGCCCAAGGTTGTGAACTTATTTAATTTCCCCTAAGGAATCATTTCTTGGTTCACTGGCTTATTGTTCTGCAAAACAGTGGTAGTCCCGTCATCCTTTGTTTATTGCCAGAGTATGATCCAGCTGTGGAGTTTGGGAGTTTATGTTTATTGGATTTTAATGACTCAGTTAACAAAGGTCATTCCTGAAAGTAATAGAAAACTAAGTGTCTGGAAATAAAATGGATACAAGTGACTTGAGGGTTACCCTACTTGTTTTTTAGTGTTGTTTTAGACATATGTTTAATTCTTAAAAGCAATTAAGAAGGATCTTTTCTCTTAATTTATGGATGCTATATTTACTCTTCTAAAATGTTATTTGAAACTCTTCAATAACAAAAGGTGCCATGTAATTACCAGATTTAAAATATGTTCCACAATATTAGTATAACAATATATAGCTAATACTAACAACAGTATAATTGTAATTATGTGTAATTATAATACTTGCTAGTATCATATCCATAGTGCTTCCATTATCTTTGAGAGGAGGAAATAACTTCAGTCTTGGGTAAAGTCTAGTTAAATATAAATCTTGAAGTTAAAAAAAACTTTAGAGATAATTTAATCTTATACTTTCAAACATTTACCAAATCACTCAAGATCAGTACATGATTTAGTAAATATTTATCCAAAATGATGCTTAGTAGACTGTGAAATAATTTCCTAAGGTAAATGGTAATTAAATTTATTTAAAATTAAATTAACAAAAGTATTTAAGAATATGTGAAAAGAAATAAATCTAGTTATTTCCCAGGCATAAATTGCTTTACAAATATTTTCCACCTCAAAATCCAATGGGCTGAAATACAAATGTATAGAGTTCACACAGTTTATACACTTCTTATGCTGTTTTATAAAACCTTCCTGATCTGGCACCTGTTGACTTTTACAGTTTCACCCCTCCCCCACCCAACATCTTTTTCTCCTCTTTTCTCCCTCTCCTGTTACCTACAGCTTTACTCATCTTCCTACTCTTGACCCTCAAACTCAGATGCTCCCTTAGGTCTGGGAACCTATGCACAAGGATTTCCTCTAAAAATTATTTTCCCTCATTCTTTGCCAGGCCATTCTGCAGATCTAGTTCCTCCTGGAAACCTTTTGATCACCTCTTCTTCCCTAGGCTTAGACTCAGAGAGTTTTCAGTAATTCTTGAGAAAGTCTTTGCTTAGTTTCCTGGGATGGATGAAACTAACATTGTCCTAAGTCACCATTCAATCCCCATTCCCTAGAACAGAGCTGCAACATATTAGGCACGATAAATGAATGAATGAATAGAACACTAAAGATTCTGAATTTATAGTTTACACCTTTGAACACAAATCTGCAGAAATAAAGGTGCCATTTTTAAAAGATACATTTCACTTCAAATCATTTCTTCTTTATGGAGAAAACATATACAACCTCACATTAGTTTCCCACTAGACAAAAAAAAAAAAATCTTAGCATTCTTGTATGCTAAATTTCTTTCACTAGATTAGGTAAAAGTTGTAGAATCAAATGAGTTATAAATGCAAATAATGAAATACTGTATAAAAATCCTACCAACCCAAGCAACTATAATTCCCAACTTGGAAGTTCTCTCCTCAGCAAATAAGTTAAAATAAAGGAAAAATTCTTTAAATTTTTCGTGTTGAATGCCATGCCTTATAAATGCCATTTCTCCCACAGAAACTTGGATTTAGCTTGAGTATTTTATTTCTGAAATTGTGCAAGATGAGCTGACTAAGTTTTAAGAGTCAAACTGTACAGATTGTTCAAGTCTCTATATAAATAACAGTCCTTATTTTAAGAACAAAAAGGGACAATAAAACAACATAGGTGGAGATGAGCAAATAAAGTCCTGGAACAAAGCCCCTGGAAAGATTGGGGAAAAAACCCCAATAAACCAGTAAGTTACAGGTCTTATTAGATCTGATAAGTAAACTGCACATCTTTGGCCATACATCAAAAAACAAAGAGGGAAAACAGAATTTGTAAAACAAACAAAAAATTGGGGCGTATCTTATCTGGTACACCTAACAATAATTAAATGGAGGTAACAAATTGAATGCACAAAGTTCGTATCCCCCCCCCCCATATCACCAACTACTGAGGGGCTGGGGAAAATAGGGTCTCATCAGTACAAAACCCAGCTTTGTCCCATGCTTAACTGCTTGCATTTTAGAAGCAGGATGGGCTATTTACAGCTAACGAACCAAAATACCAAACTGTTGGGCAGGGGATTTAGCTCAGTGGTTTCGCATCCCGCTGCGCAAGCACAAGGACCGGAGTTCGATTCCCGGTCCAAAAAAAAAAAACAAAAAAAACCAAACTAAAATAATGGAAGTGGTGGTTAGTAGAGGTGCTCAGCCTCCCGTCCTTTGGGCTCCCACCCCGGAGACTCACTTGGTCCCACGGGATAGCAGGGCTCAGGCCCTCCTCCTCGCTCCAGCAGAGAAACGGACTAGCGGAGACTAAAACCGCCCGTCTCTGTCAAATACGGTAAAGCCTGTAGTACTGCGGGGGCTGGGGGTGGGGGCCTTCTGATTCCCGGAGGCCGCGGCCCGGCCCGGCCCGGCCGCCCTTACTCTGGGGCTCCATGCTCAGGTGCTGCCAGGCCCCGCGGGCCAAGCCCTGGCGCCGCCGCCCTCCTAACACCTTTGCTCCACCGCCGGCGTCGCTCGAGTTGCCCGGGCAACCGGGGTAGGCGGGGCCAGAAAGACGGCAAGAGGGAGGGACCAAAAGCCAGGAGGAAACGCAAGTGAGTGTGAGGGCCTGCGCGTCGCTGGGGGACAGAGCGAAGGTGGTGGCCGAGTGGCCCGAGGACGAGACGGCTTCGGAGGCCTAGTCGTGCAGGTGGGACTCCCCGGAGGCCCTTGCCCCCTCCTACTCCGAGCCTGGGCTGCGACTTCTGGAGTGGGCGCTGCGGGCCTCGCCGTCGCAGTCCCGAGGCATCTGTCGGGACCGCCCGAGCGTCGAACGACCGGCGGGGCCTGGCCGCATTCCGGGACTCTGCGGCCGGCGCTGCAGGTAAGGCGGGCTCGGGCGGCGCACCTGTTGCGGCCCCACTGGCCCCGGCCCGCCCTAGGACGCCGGCGCCCCCTGTGTGACCCCCAGACGCCCCTTCTCTGGAGCCCGCGTCTCTGCAGGAGCCGGGGCGGGGCGGGGCGGGGTGGGGTCCCTCGGAGCCGGCGCTTCGGCCGAATTGACGAGGGCGACCTTGCGGGGTGCGTTGGCGGGCGCAGCCAGCGAAGCTGCGTCCCCACCGGCTAAGAGTGGCTCTTGACTCTAGAAACCACGGAGAATTCCTTCGCTCAACGTTGCTCTGTCATCTCGGGTGTCCCATTTCAGGCCCTGGGCCTTCGTCGATCTGTCCAGTAAATTTAATTTTTCGGTATTTGTTTCAACCTTCTTGGTTTTTTTGGGTGAGTTATTGAGTCAACCTACATGTTTTGTAGCAAAAGTTTTAGGGTTTTTAAATTAACATGGTCTCACACAAAGGTGTTTTATAAAACTGGTTTTAATGACTTTAAAGTGTTTGCTTTAAAGAAGCTTTGAAGATCATAGGAGAGTTTTATCTGGTGGGTTGTAAAAATTCCAACAACTCCACAGAGCATCGTGGGTTAGGAAAATGAGCCGGAAGGAGGGGGAAAAAAAAATGGAGCCGGGGTAAGAGTGGATCATGAGAAAGTACACGGGGCGGGGAAATTGCAGGATTGATTTATTTATTACTCAGGTCTGGAGATTACGGCCCCTCTATCAATTACCACCGCTGCTCAGACAGTACTTGAAGAAAATGCTAGAAAGAGCCGTTTTGGGGTCATGTAAGTGATTACTCACTTTTGCCACTAGAGAGATTTCCAGTCCAGGATGACAAGGACGCCAAAGATAATTACTTTCCTCTTAGAAAAGGAATCATTCAGAGGTTAATCGAACCCAAGGAGCCGGAACCCAAGGAGCCGGAACCCGAGGAGCCGGAACGTATATTCCGTGATGAAAGCAGCCATTCATTTATGCCACCAAATTAGGCTTTTCCACCCCAGACTATGTGGGAACTCTTCACATTGTCAAAATAAGGAGGTTTATGTGTGAATGTTGACAAGCAGTGTGATTTATACAGAGGTGATAAATCACAAGCTAAAGTATTAAAAGAATAAATTCAGGTTAGAAAGTAAACACTTCATGGTACCTTAACTACTTCTTTCTGAAATCTAGAGAAGGGTTGAGGGGGATACATTTTTAAACAGAAAACATGTAAGATTAGCAATACTCTATACAATGTTACTCAAACTAGTTTTCATAAGCAAAGTCTGGAAGTGGTCTTCTTTCCCAGGACACAAATGTAGTAATGTTCATCGATACGATCATAATAAATAGTGGCAAGATAGTGATTTTCTAAAACTAACATTATTGAAACAGAAAAGGTAGGGTTAAATTTGCCCAAACAGTAAGACTCCTTGTTGTTCTTTTGTGGTATGGAGGATTGATCCCAGGGCCTTTCCACTGAGCTTCATCCCCAGACCATTTTTATTATTATTATTATTATTATTATTATGAAACAGGGTCTTGCTAAGTCACTGAATTGCCCAGGATAGGTTTGAACATGTGATCCTCCTGGTTCACTTTCCCAGTGTGCTGAGATTACAGGTGTATACCGCCACACTTAGCTTAGGCATTTGTGTTTTTTAAAAGGAGGGGGAACAATATTACAGATCTCCTTGATAAGGTAACCGTGGCTCAGTTTGGTAGCTACATACCCTTTTTAAGATTGGAAAAGAGAGTTTATGTGTTAGTGAAATACTTTTAGTGATTTAGATTATTTTATAATACTTTAAATTGACAGGACATCTTATTCAGGCCATACTCTTAAGTGAAATAAATAGGATACACATGTGTAAATACCAAATAGTTTCTCTAGTGTGAGAAACTGAAAGTGTAAACAAGGATTAAAACGAATAACTGATAATTTGAAATAGGAAGAAAAGGTCCAAAGGGGTAGGAGAAGTGGGAGGGGAAGGGGAAAGGAAAAAAGGGAAAGGAAAAATTATGAGAAAAGAAAAAAATGGAAACAAAGTATGTAAATAGGGAAGGGTGCACAGGCAATGGGAAAAAAATAAGAACAAAGATTCATCATGTACAGGTACAAGCATCCAATGATAAATGTAAACGTATTGTATACCTAAAATGTACCAATAAAAGAGTTTAAGCAATAAATAAATAAATAAATACAAACAAGTAAAGACAATTGTGAAAAGTAGCATTTGATTTTAGGAGATGGTATACCTATAGAAGAAAAGACTGATTAGGAGATGGAAGTGGAGAGGAAAAGGCACTAACATGCCCAAGACAGGAGGCGATATTCAGTTTCTCTTTTCCCTTCAGCATCCAGTACAATGTACTTGTTAACAAATAAGCAGACCTTTAGGGAACTTGCTTTCTGTATGGAGATTAAATTCCCAAAGTCAGGAAGTTGCTAATGGAATAGGGTTGGAAATGAATGGTAAGACTCTTACTGTCCCTTTTTGGAGTTTTCTACCATAATGTTTCTTTTCACTGCCATGTTCAGTATGTTATCCATGGCCAAAAGAAGAACAATGAAGACTTGTAGTTTTGTTTTTTAAATTTCCAAGCTCATCACTGGATAGAATAGTTACTATTTAGTTCTCAGATGCCCAACTAAAGATTGCAAACCAAAGCATTGTTACCAAGGAATAACAAGGTAGCAATGAAAAGACACATGTAGTCTTTTTTTCTTTTCTTGTTTAGATCTGTTGGCTATATCAGAATTCAAGGTAAAAATAACTAGTAGAAAGTTAACTTTAATGCAAATAGGATGATAAAGATTACAGCAAATGACTGTGTTCTGTTTCCTACTTAACTGTTATAAATTGGAAGATTTTTCATGTTGGGAGGTGTTTTCTTTGGGGGGGGGGTAATGTTTTTGTTTCCTTCATCAGAGTGAGGGTACACTGTCCTTACTGTTACTTTCTGAAACTCAAGTTCAGTCAAAGGTAAAATGGAATCAAATTTTTATTTTTTATTTTTTTAGTTTGTTTTTTGAGACAGTGTCTCGCTGTGTAGTTCAGGCAGCCCTTGAACTCACTGTGTAGCCAAGGCTGGCCTCGAACTCATGGCAATCCTCCTGCCTCAGCCTCTTGAGTGCTGGGATTACAGGTGTGTGCCACCATGCCCAGCTATTGTTGATGTATTTTTGCCACATCCTTCAAACTTGTCCTGGACTGAACTCAAATTGTTGGGCTCATGGGAATGCTCATTTCTTTTCCTTTTCTTTCTTTTTTTTTTGAGACAGTTTTTTGCTGTGGAGTTCAGGCTGGCCTCAAATTCACCTTGTAGCCCAGGCTGGCCTCAAACTCGTAGCGATTCTCTTGCCTCAGCTTTCCAAGTGTTAGGATTACAGGCATGTGCCACCATGCCCAGTAAGGAAGGCCCATTTCTTAGCTCTTTTACTCAATTGTAGCATAATCCTGCTGCGGGACCGTGCTCTCTTTTCCTAAAAAGTGTTGTGGGATTAGGCTAGTGCTAATCATAGCCCTGTATTGTCCTTTCTTGCAAAGTTTTCTCTCATTTTATGTTTCTGGATCTTGCACAAAAGATTAAATATTCTTGGAGTCCATAATTCTTCTACATTCCTTCTAGCACATTGTAGCCTTCAGTGTGTATCTTGTAGTTTGAGCAGGATAATAATAGAAAGGACAGCTCTTTAGTTAAGGATGATTGCATTAATTTCTAGCTATCCCATTTTGGGAAAATTAGGAGATATTATTTGCTTATTAATACCCTGAAGTAATGTGATTATAGAGATGAATGATAATATCATATATTGTAAAAAACTTTTTCAGTATGAAGGGTTGTTTTGACTCAGAGCAAATACTTATTGAGCCTTCACACTGTGTTAGGTGCTTTTTGGGTTCTGTGGTTGCTCTTTCACAGAAAATGAATAAGAACTGTGCAGGTAGATCATATGTGAAGGCAGGAGGCTTCCTAGGCAAGGAAACAGCTTGCGAAAAAGCAAGGCTAGAGAGTGACTAGGGCAATAGTTCATTGTGGCTAATCTGAGTGCATTCCTATAATCCCAGCACTCTGGGAGGCTGAGGCAGGATGATCACAAATTTGAGTCCTACATGGGCAACTTAGCCTCTATCTCAAAGTAAAAATTAAAGGTCTAAGGATGTAGCTCAATGATAGAGCATTTCTGGGTTTAATCCATCAGAAAAGAAAAAAGAATTAAAACAAGGTCAACTTCCTGGAAGTCTAGAAATAGGGTTTTGAAAATAAATTTTGATTTTACCTTTTCCAATAAGGTTTAAATAGAAGCTGGAAACCAAATAAGATGTATTCTAAGGAGTTTTGAGCCTATTAAAACATAGGCAAGCAAAGGAGCAGCCTTCTTAAAGTTTCAGTAATGACTGAGTCCATTATTTCAACTACAGTATACCACGCTTGGAAGGTAAAGTTCATATCTTAAATATTTGACTGTAACTCCACATGGCCAATTAGAACCATGCTTTTCAAATCTATTTTTAAAAATTCACAAATCTGTCTGTACCTTGTTTTTCTGTTT